TGAACCGCACTGTGGTATGAAGCGCATTGCATATCCATAGCACTGAAGTATCAGTTTTCCATTCCTGGGCTGAAATTTGTTTCTACTTTTTGCTTCAAGTGGTTGTATTGTTCTGATTTCACGTACACCAGAGTAACTGATTTTGTTTTCTTGTGGAGTTACTTAACACCGAATAAAAATATAAAAGGACAAATGGATGGCGTGTGTGTGTGTTCATTTTCTTTGGCTAACGTATGTAACAGATACAACGTGGCAGTTAAGAATTAAGCAAGTCCCCGGAGAGAGAGCACGAGGTATCTAGTTTGGGAGTCCTTTTCATTGCTGTGATTTTTTAATCTCTTTTTTATTCTTTCTCAATACAACACAGGAAAATGAAATACACTGCATTTGTTCTTCAAAAAAAAAAAAGACAGGCAAACAAAATAAGCTTAGTCCCCACTTTAATTATTTCTGTAGAAAATACCATAATCTCATTCCAAAAATTAATTTGTAATGACAGCTTCACGTTTAGAGAACGAGACTTCTTTCAAAAAAAAAAAAACCCAAAACCTCAAACCCAAACAAAACCCCAAGCAAACCCAGACCCTCTCTCACATATCAGTCAAAGCACTTTTATATAATACAGGATCTAAAATAGCAGACTTTATTTGTGCTTTCAACTTGTCCTCAGCCATCAAATGGTCAGTATCTCACTTCTACTTTTAGAAAAACTGCATCTACGATAAGAAAATGCCTACTCCTAACCCCATGGCCAGACCTCTTTTTATAAAAAAAGGAAAAAAGGCAGACCCAGTTTTGAGCAGCTCGCATTCTGCTTGCTGGAGACATGTGCATTATGTTGCTGTGAGCTGACAGCCACAGTGACTTGGGATTCCGTGCAGAAGGATCGCAGCTCCCCTTGATTAGAAGTGCAATGACAACAACACATGAATACACACTTGGGAAATCATGGAAAATGGTTGCTCTGTAAGGTTCTTCGGTGAATACATTTGTTCATTAGTATCTAGCATGTTTTAAACTTTGTCGTTAAAACTTTCAAAGGTATAAATTACTTTTAATTATTTATTAAATACAGCAGGAGGAGTATATTTTCATTGTTTATAGAAGATGCTTGATAAAAGAATTAAATTTGATCAGCCAGGCCTTTCAGTTATAATAATTCAGTATCTGAATTATTAACTCCACATATCCCAAGGAATTCGTTTCCAATGTGAACAATGCTTCTATTGTGCAGAAACGGCTGCATAGCCCTTGGCAGCAATTGCATCTGTCAGCGGTTGGGCAGGCTTTAAATGCACGTCAAACTACGGCTTCATGGGAGCGCTGTCCGCAGTGAAAATACATGGAAAGGTACCGCGGCTCCTGGAGAGCCAGTCTTCCCAGGATTCCTTGACAGTGGCTCATTTGTTTCCTGCCAGGACCAGTGTATTTAAGTATTATCCCCAATGAATTTGTCATCTACCTTTCACGTACAGCATCTCACGTTACTTTCTTTTATGACCTGTGCAACTAGTAGCAACAAGGCTCTAGAGGTTTGGGACAAATGAAACTTAACTGATACATTCTAGCATTCTGCACTAAGATGCCTTTTCCATTGTTCAAGTTGCTCTTAAACTGTATTATAATATGCGAGTGCTTATAAATTTTACGAGCTACCTCTATGCTCCAATACAACGATAATGGGATTAAAAGGAACAACAAAGCTGGCAGCGGGTCAGCATGCTGCCGAGAAAAAGTGACTGGGTGGACAACATTGCCCTGCTTCATCGTTGCGGATAGCTTCACCTCTAAAGAAGGCACCGAGGACAGAGACTGAGGTGAGAGGCTTCCACGTACGCGGCCTTCTCCCACCTGACAGCCTTCCTGTAGGGCACGTGCTTCTGGAAGCATGGTATCTGTTACTGCAGCGTATTCGCAGCTGCAGAACCCTGTTAATCCAAGAACATGAGGCGGTGCAAAAGCAGTACTCAGTCTCTCTCTCCCTGTCACTGCAATGCAGGGCGACTTTTATTAACAGTGGTAACAGCTACATAATATTGCTACAATTGCTTTTCACGCAAAGATTTTAGAAATTGTTAGTGAAGAAGGCTTAGCTGCCCACCATTTCTGTGTAGGCCTTATTTTGCTTGCTACAAGGAAATGGACACAGTGAGATGTAGGAACTTTCAATATATCACTGAATTGAGGAGTCCCAAATTCTTGAATTTCTTCTAAAATCAATCTGAACAATCAAGCCTGTTAAAAGTATAGATGAGTGTATTTTCATACTGATTTCGGTGCTTTTCTTGTTCATAGCCACAGAAATGCCTGAGCAAATGGCACTACAGTAGCAATACTGAAAGCAAATACATAAGCAGTAGAATAGACTGCCTAAAAAAGGGATGCCACTTCCACCACTAGAGATTTTTAGGAACAGATTAGACAAATGTGTCAGAAATAATGTAGGTATGTATACATATGTCCTGCCTTGGGGAAAAACAAAGAACCAAGTGATTTCCAGATTTCTCTGAATCCTGTTTTCCATACAGGAACAGCTAGCTTATATCCCGAAGGGCTGTTAAATTGATTCACAGTTTACAGAGAAAAGAGAACCATGAGATTGCCTATAGGACATTAAAACTTGGGCAGTTTTTCCTTTATTGATCACAAACTTGTGTTTGAAAAAAGTGCAACTTGTGTGTGGTTTAAGCTCATCGTCCAAAGAGTAATTTGCCTCATGAATCCCTACCCGCTGTGGTAGGCCACCCTGATCCCTTCCAGATGCAGGACAGAATTGGTATTGAATGTTTCTTTTCTTGCACAGTTACTTTATTCATGCAATAGTGAATGTCAAGGACTGGTAGCACGCTTTTTGTTCCCAATACCCTTTTGGTAGGATTCCTCCCTTTTTTTTTTTTTTTTGACACTTCATGACTTCTAATATTTGTATTGATGTTTGGCTTTTAATTGTCTGCACTTTTAGATGGGGTTTTAGCCCATAGTCTTTTGACTCTGGAGCCCTTATCTATTTGACAACAAAGTCTTCTTCAAGAAGTCTCAATTGTCATTCATGCCTTTTAAATATTTTTCATCCATTTTTCCTATAATTTTATTCAATACAAAAATACTAAATTCTTTGAAGCACTGCAGATCCATAGAAGCATTAATTGGATCTGTTATCTGCCCAAACTGATGTTACTTGGTTTCATTCATCATCACTAGGTCGAGACAACTAATTCTTAGTCCAGTACTTCTTTTTTTTCCTAGTGAGTTCCAGTAGAAAGTTACCATGTGTTGGGTGCAATGCCTTTTGTGTTACAGAATTAATCTGTTTGCTTTTGGAAATTAATTTAAATTCTGCTTGCTTAAGAGAATAAATCTGCTATAGCATCCCAACTTTTCCTTATGCAGCTGTGCATAATAAAAACCTCATTTCCTTCTCTAGTATGATTTAGTGATGAGTTGTGATCTGTAACAGAAGTACTATGGAGGCTTTGTCAGCAATTATTTATGGGCACTTAAGATTCTGGAATTCTGAGATATTAATACAAGTAGCAATATTTTTAGTTTGTATAGTCTTACTCCTTCACACCTTAGTACTCATTTTGTCTTTCCTGAACAGCTTGTAGACAGTGATAGAAACATTCCAGTCACATGCATTACGTTTTGGTAATATCAATTCAAACATGCTGGAAAGGTTCACACTGCCTTCCCCTGCGTTTCCTGCTCTTCATTTTCTTACTTAAAGGGAAACTTTAAAACTACCTTAAATGACAGTGACGGGAAAT